TATCTCTAGCACTATTTTGTGGTATTGCTAATTGGAATGTTGTTACTGCAGGTGTGGATACAGCTGAAGTAACATTGGGAGAAAACCTGAAAATCAGCCTCAACCTCAAAAGGCCAGCAAGTACAGAAAAAGACATCACAGCACTGGTGAGAGATGTTTTACACTGTGTGCGTTTGTGCATATGCTTGAGTGTTTGCGTTGCTACCTGCAACCTGCTGTTGGCTAAGTACTGATCTGTGTCCCTAGGTACTGAGCAGAGGTCAGCTGGTGAAACACTACCGTTACAAGACAAAAGGTCAAATGCTGATATCCATGATAGTCACCATTACCAAAAACATGCTGCCGTCATTTCGTATCATAGCCTACTACCATACAGATGAAAATGAAGTGGTATCAGACTCTGTTTGGGTGGATGCAGAGGACTCCTGCATGGGCTCGGTAAGACACACCACACCAGTATAGCAGAGTTAAAGTAGGTGAACAATATAACCCTACACAAACAAATCAATAAAAATAACTGTATTTTTCACAAATACAAATATGCCTCCTCTCTCAGTTAAAACTGGAACCAGCAGAACGCAAGACAACCTATATGCCTCGCAAAATATTTAACCTGAAGGTCACCGGAGATCCAGGAGCCACAGTTGGACTGGTGGCAGTTGACAAAGGCGTCTATGTCCTAAACAACAAGCACCGCCTCAACCAAAAAAAGGCAATTTCTTTATTTATTCTTTATTTTTGAAAATTGTTTTTTTGTTGTTGTTTTTTCTCTTGCTGAGAAACACTTTGGCATGTGCACATTTGGTGCAGCCAAGGATCAAACCGCAAACCCTAGGACAACACACTATCTTCCAAATATAACTTAACCCCAAGCCTTATCTGTCTCTATTTCTATATGTGTGATAACTTCCACCCTCCTCAGGTGTGGGAGATGGTAGAGACATATGACACAGGGTGTACACCAGGTGGAGGGAAGGATGGTATGAGTGTGTTTTACGATGCTGGGCTGTTGTTTGAGTCCAACACAGCTTCTGGGACTCCCCACAGAGAAGGTGATACTATGACACTCTCCACTCACATTCTTTTTTCTATTGTAAAAACCATAGCTGAGTTTGACTGCTTCAGCAACCTGTCAAAAAAGCAAATACTGCCCTGAACATGCTCTCCTTAGTGTACCAATACAATATCATTAATAAAATGTCCATTAGGGTTGTCACTTTTCCCAAAAATCAAGATCAAATGATTTTAAATGACACATCATTTATTCAAATTAATTTGAATGCCCCCCACTCCCCCACCCCTGAAACAGTTCATTAAAGTTACATTATCAGTTATTCCATGCATATGGTGTTCACATAGTTCTGAACAGTGTCAGTGACTGGCAACAACTACAGCTGCTTCATGGGAGATGTCAAATTTATCCAGCATGCTGCCAATGCTTACTGCAATATGGACAGATGTGTGGCTTCTTCTCAGCCCCTTAGTACACCAAACATACTGTAACTGTAAAGTTCCCATGAATCTGAAATACTGTGAGCTGTAATTCATAAGCATGTGTGGCAAGCAATGTCCATCTGTCTGTCAAATAGTAGGCGGTCTGACAAGGTGGTAAACTGGCCGTTGCTCTGCTCGTCTGTGGTGCCTCCGCTGTCTCGCTCGGGTGGCAAGTTAATGTTGCTGATGAGTCTGCCAATTTGTTGTCCTTGTAGAGTAAGATACGTAGCTGTTTTGTACAAAGTCGACAAACAGCCGTATCTTTGTTAGTTACTTTTCCATCTACAATATAGAACCCAAATTACTTCCACACAATGCTTCTTGAATGCTTTCATGCCTTGATTGTCCACTCAGGACAGCTTAACTTGCCACTGTCCTCCATTTTCATAGAAAACAACAACATTGGCCTCTTTGCTTAAGTTTCATTTGCTGGTAAGTCAATGGTAAGTCAAGAGGGCTTGCAGCAGTTCAAGCTGATAGTGAAATTTTAGATCGCCCTCTGCTGGATCACAATGCAGACTTCTTCAAATGGCCTGCTGGCTTATAAACAGTCTGCTGCACTTATAGACTGTAAACTAACAGTCTTTTTGCGCATATAGCTGTAGATTTTAAATTTAACCATGTCATCTATGGGGTGCCGTTTGTAAAGTGGCTCACACTGAAAATAACATCAACATTTTGCCACATTTAGCTTCAAACAATGTTTAAAAAAGTGTTAATTTTTTAACGTCACCTTTTACCACATTTACAGCAATATTTGTTAACTTAGAAATATATTAAATAGTTAAATCTAAATATTAAATGTGGCACCTAAATGTTATATGTTAAATCTAAATCTAAATCTAAATATTAAATCTAAATCTAAATGCGAAATATAAATCTAAACGTCAAATCTAAATATTAAATCTAAATCTAAATGTTAAATCTAAATGCTAAATATAAATATAAATGTTAAATCTAAATCTAAATGTTAAATCTAAATGCTAAATCTGAATCTAAATGTTAAATGTTAAATCTAAATGTTCTGGGTGAAGCTAAATATTTAGCTAATATGCAAATTCACACTGCCGGTCACCGGAAGTACCAAAATAAAAGCTCAAGATGGTCAGACTGTGTTTATAGAATCAAATAACGAATTAAAACCAACTTATCGGGGGGAAATGGACACTTGAACATACATTAGCGTGATAATAACTACCTAAAATAACAAGAAACACAAAAAAGTAAAATTGCTTATATTTTGTTTTGGTTGTACTGCTTGCCTGCTCCGTTTTGAGCAGCAAAGCAGCAGGCAGCTGTTCTCACTGCAAGTGCTCTAAAATTCATTGTACACTTCCTGCCCAGCACCAAATGACAAAGCGAGTTGGTTAAGCAACTAAAGAGTCAGACATTTTCTCCAGGAGTTGGTACAGGTGCTAATATGGCAGAATTATGTTTACAGCTTTTTCCCCCTTGCTCTCAAATAGCCGAAATATCAGTTAATTTAGGTTTAGGGGTACAAATCCAGTAGATAACAGAGGGACTATGTTTGTATGGGTTAGTTCACCCAAACAAATCATTTTATCTTTTCCAATTTAGCAATGCAGACACTGTCTCCTGAACAACATGTTACTGTTTACTTTTTTTTAAAGGTGTTTTTAATGTCTGGGGCTCGGGGCTAAGGCATACCATATATGTCTGAGACATATCTCCAAACAATCCAGTTAATATGAAGGACAGTTGAAGATTCATTTCCTCACATCCTGTCCATATGTCCAATTGTTAAAATTACCTCACATTTTAAGAGTTTAGTGTAAGTTGTACAAAGCAGAAATCAAGTATAGGTCCCACTCTGTTGGGTTCTGTGAAATTTTTTTTCTGCCTTATAATTCCAGATTTGAATTGTCCGGCCCTCAGCAGGAGAAAACGAGCCACGACTATAATGGACGTAACAACTAGCTTGGGTAAGAAACACACTCTTAAATTCCCGAGTAACATCTCATGTCCCTCAGGTCAGGCTCTCCGTGATGTCTGTAGAAGGTCTTCTTGCGCTGCTGACTTTTTCACTACTCTACTTTGCCATACCATGTATTGGGGTTCTATAGGGACAGTGAGTGGAGCCCAGTGAATGACATGACATTGACCCAGCCATACTGATTTTCATTGGCTAAAAGTTAGTTGCTGTAGCCTGCCTACTTCTTTGTAACCTGGCAGCTGAAGTGAAATTGAGGGCCCCAGCCAACCCAGAAAGCATGGAAGTGAACTGGGTGGAGCCATGACCTTAACTTGCAAGGGTCAAAAGACAAGCACTAGACACACTGCACAACACATTTCCTGGGTCATTAAGGAGCACGAAAAGATGTAGGTGTATCATGTGCAGATTGGAGTCAAGCGCAACACAGCTTACATACACCCAACCCTCTTCGCTGTTGTTCTAGCGAGCCCGGACCCTGAAAAGGAGCCCAACATGTCTAAGAGATAGAATCATATGAACAGACCGGGCGTAGATCACAATGCTTTCATATGTCCTCAACACTCACTCAACAAAACATGGCTGCCAAGATTGCCACACTGCATATATAAACACAGAGGGAGGATCCCTACCTGACCGCCTGTAGGCTTGAGATATCCACCCACAACACCATATTGCAATGCGTTTCCTGAATATGGTCTTACCAGCGACTCCATCATCAAAGCAATGCATCTGATGAGAGGGGGCAAGACAAAAGCTGCCGGAGCTGGGCAAGCCGGGCCGTAAATTCCCAGGACACTGAAGTACTGGGCACAGAAGAGATATGTCATTATCTGCAGATGATGCTGTTGTCTCAGAGGGGATGACTGGAGGTGGTGGCATGTTGACAGTCAGAGCAGGTGTCTGCGTTATTGGCCTCAAGTTCTGCCTCACTCTAATGGTGGCGAAGCACACATCAAAACATTTGCAGTGATCCCACCATTGCTGGTGTGTAAACTTGGACTGCGCCTGACAGGCCTTGCATGCCGGTGGCTGCTGAGCACCACTCTCAGTACCAAATAGCTTAGGAGGTTATGTGGCGAGTTGCAACTCCATCTGTGAAGGAAGCTAATCAGTGGGCACTCACTGACACTGTAGACTGAATGGTTAATGGATGCTGTCATAGTAAATAGTAGTAAATCCTCAAGCGAGTAGTATGATTGACATTACAAGGGCACTATGTACAGCAGGCTTAGCTTGATACAAAATGACTGTTAACTGATTATCATCACAACCAAATGTAATTTCACTTTATCCTATCATCACTCTGTGATAAAAGTCTTGTAAAATTCTACAGTACATCTGTCCATATGAAAACTTTTAGCACTATCTTCTATGAATTTTTCATTGTTGTCACCATGGTTTGGCCAGATTCCCCAGATTTGGCTACTGTTATGAAGATCAGGCAGGTTTTAGCCTCTGATTGGGCTATTTTTGGTCAGTCCAATCTGGCAACACTGCTTGTACTCCATATCTTCTTTCTTCTGTCTCTCCCCCACAACCCCATTTCTTTCCAGCAAGTCAATATGAGGACCAACTGCAACGTGAATGTTGTTTGGATGGCATGAGGGAAACCCCCATTCCATACACTTGTGAGAGGCGCAGCGAGTACATCAATGATGGTACAGCCTGTGTTGAGGCTTTCCTGCGCTGCTGCAAGGAGATGGAAATCCAGCGAGCTGAGATGAAGGAGGATAGCCTGCGACTGGCTCGAAGTAAGAGACGGGGACAAGGGATCGGTTGAAGCCCTGGGGATCGGTTGAAGCCCTGGGTAGTTACTGGTGGTCATACAGAAACAGTAAAACAATCAGTATAATAACCTTTTTAATGACACCTTAGCTGAAGAGGAAGACAGTTACTTGGACAGCAATGAAATTGTTTCTCGCACCAACTTCCCTGAAAGTTGGCTGTGGTCAGATATCACGCTGCCCCCTTGCCCTGATAGTAAACCTAATTGGTGAGTCAACTGAAGCTTATACACTCACAAAATACTTGATAGCTTTAATTTCACCTCTAAAAGTATTATTCTTTGTTTCAGTGACACCACATCAGTGACAAAAAGTGTTCCTTTGCAAGACTCAATCACAACCTGGCAGTTCACTGGCATCAGTCTGTCAAGAACTCTCGGTGAGGATTCAATGAATTAAATGTCTTGTGTCTTAGTTGCGCTACAAACCTCAAAACCAAGAGCCCAAACTACATTCCATGGTTTCTCTATTTCCATTAGTCTGTTCCTCACCCAGCTACCCTTTCTGTCCTTGATTCATGCCTTGTTTTTTGTTGTTGTTGTTGTCATTGTTTTTTTGTCTGTTTTCTTGTTTGTTTGTTTTTAAGGTATTTGTGTGGCTGAACCATTGGAGATAATTGTCAGGAAGAACTTCTTCATTGATCTCAGATTGCCCTACTCTGCTGTTCGTGGAGAGCAGCTGGAAATTAAAGCAGTCATCCACAACTACAACCCCAATATTTCTACTGTAAGTCTGAATCATTCAAGTAAGCATACTAAAAAGAGGATGAATGAAACTGATGTATAGGCCTGTCTCACAAAACAATGTGACTTTTTTTAGTAGATTCGGTTAATTCTGCATTCTTCAGTCAGTACAGGGACTGGATCCCTAATCTGGCAAGAATAGTATTATTGTTACTGTAGGTAATGACAAAAAGTGTGTGACATCGTCGGAATCTGATCCACTCCGTGGAAAGTGTAGGTATATGTGTAACTGACATGGATGATTACTGTATGGGCCTACCATGCACAGGCCCAGGGGCCCAAAGTCAGGGGCCTTACTGAGGGGTATTCCAGGTAGAAGGTTCAACAAACTCTGAGTCTAATCCTGAACTCTGAGTTGACTTACCCTGAGCTGGGAAACTCTGAGTATCCGGTTCCAGAACAGCTGATTCTAATTAGTTCAGTCAACTCTGAGTAGGTACACCTTGGGTACGTCCCAAGTCTCTTATTTTATACTGCTAACTCCTAACTCCTTACTTGAACCGGAAGTCATTCGAGGTCCGCCATCTCTAAGGCAGTCTCATGTCTCTTATTCCTGCCAGTAAGGAGTTAGCGTTAGGAGTTAGGAGGGATCTGTTAGGTGCGATGTGTAAGGTAACACAAGAGGTTCCTAACAGAAAGTCTTTTCCAGCTTGAGGCCTTGACATATAAATACCCGCCCTCTATGTCTGGCTCATTTGAACGAGATGGCGGAGAAACAGCGCAAGTGTACCCGTTACATGCATTCTTTGCATTAAAAACACAAAGGGCTCTAGTTTCCCGGCGCAGCGCAGGGTGGCGCAGGGTGGTGAACCCCGCGCAGAGCTAGTTTCGAGCAGCGCAACCTGAGGCACACTCAGTTTGGTAGTTTGGCAGACCGAAGTGCGCTGAGATGGGTGTGGCGGCGCAGCAGGGGGAGGTGTCGACAGATCCA